GCATGTGCCGTGCCAGGATCCAATATGGGCACCAGTTCTAATCCCGGTGGCCCCGCTTCCCATCCAGCTCCCTGCTTGTGGCCTGGGAAAGCAGTTGAGGACGGCCCAAAGTCTTGGGACCCCGCAACCACTTGGGAGACCCGGAAGAAGCTCCTGGTTATTGGCTTTGGATTGGCTCAACTCCAGCCATTGTGGCTGCTTGGGGAGTGAACTATTGGATGGAAGATCTTCCTCTCTGTTTTTCCTCTTCTCTGTATTTCTGACTTTCAAATAAAAATAAATAAATCTTGAAAAAAAATACACTTATACATTCCATATAGGTAAAAAGTAAAATGAAACAAAATGCTAATGATTATGGAATGTTTTTATAATAATTTAGCAAAATACATTTATTATTTACTAACTTGATTTATACTGGTAGTCATAATTTCTGTTATTTCTTTATACTGAGATTATTTTGCATTTTTGTCAGCAACCTTGGGCAACAGTCATTTTAGAAAGAATCCTTTACATATTTTTGGTTAAAATAGTCTTGATTTTTGGTGGGAAAAGTATTTGAGTTTATAGCCAAGTTTGTTTGACTGCTGTTGGGTTTTTGATGTAGATAAAATCCATTACTTTAGATTTTTAAAATTCTCTAGTTCTTTAGAAAGTTGAGGATCCAAGTAAATGATACTTTCAAACTTTAAATTTTTTCCTGTGAATATTAAGAAATAAAAACTTATGTAGAAAGAGAAGAAAGAAGGAAGGGAAGAAAGGAAAACACAGAAAGAAAATGGGAGAAACCATTGCCTCAAGGACAGACTATTCCAGTCCATCCTCTAAATAAACTCACTCAAATAGCTTGACATTTCACATTTTGATTCTTAGTTACATCATAACTATTTATTCTTCTATTCCCTTTTAGAACTACCTTCTTATCTGTATCACAACCCAGGTAATGCTTTGTGCTCAATCCTATCTTGCTATTGTCCTTACCAACTTGTCTTCTCAAAGTGTTAGTATTTTTAAATACTGTATGGCTGTTTCTGTTTTGGAAAGATTCACGGTGAGGAGAACACTTTTAACAATGTGTGGCCTCTCCTTTTGATCCTTGATTTATCACATGCCTTCTCAAACCTACTAGTGCCAGAAGGAGGCTTGTTTCCTCGGGTGTTGCTGCGTTTTGTGGGGATGAAGTGGTCAGTCGCTCACACTGTGTTGGACTATCTCTGGAACATTGAGCATCTGGATGCAGCCGTCATCACAGCACTGAGAGATGCAGCAAGCCAAAACTGTCTCTGGAAGAGTGACTGACCGGCACCAATTCCACCACTGCTTTTCCCCTGAAACTGCAGAAACAATAGATTCAATAAGGCATCTATGTGTCCTGCAGCCTTGCATTTAATTTGTATTATTGTAACCCAGCCTATTATACAATATCGTTAGTTAATGATGTTACTATAAAGTTTTCAAGGGATCATAAACCATCATTTTCATCACAGTTGCAGATTGTTTTCCTCATGTACACATAATGGCATTTTCTCTCTTTTTTCCCCCAATAATGGTACTAACAATATTAGAAGGACTTCTGAACTATATAATAAATGGTCTGTGTTTGTTCAAAATGATTTCCTTAATACCACCAAGACACAAATGCCTCAGCTAGATCTGATTCACTTTGTATACATAAAGATTTTTTGTTATAAAATCCACATTTATATGTAAGAAAAAGGTAAGCTATGAAAGAATATAACTTTATGGATATCAGCTTAACCACATGTCATTATTAACATAATTTCAGAGGGAAAAGGCAATGGACAGAACTTAGTAACTTGCCCAGGATCATGTACTAGTAAGTGGCACAACTGGAATTTGGAGTCCACATTTTAAAAAAAATTATTATTGTTCTTTTCTGTCTTCTATATGAAAAGAACAGAGAGAGGGGGAGAGAGCTCATTCCTCAGATGCCCAGGAACAGGGAAATTAATCAAGGATTCCCAAGTAGGTTGCAGGGCCAGAGCTCTGGGCCATCCACTGCTGCTTTCCAGGTGTGTGTGTGTGGTGTGGGTGCATGAGCAGGAAGCTGCAGTGGGGAGCAGATTCAGAGCCCAATTCCACACACTGTAATGTGGGCAGCATGCATCCCAAGACAGCGTAACCACTGTGCCAAGTACCTTCATCTGGTGTTTCTGCTCTTAATCCTGACTGAAGTTACAAGAACCAATATTTTTAAGATCTAACGAATTGAGGTATGACTAACATAATCAGTACACATTTAAAAACCTATTTCTTCCTTCCCTTATCCAGTGGTGACCATTATTCTACCTTTTCTTTCTATAAACTTGACTAGTTTAAATACCTCCCCTAAAGGTAATCACCATGTATTTGGTGTTTTGTGACTGAATTATCTAATTTAGCATTATATTTTCAAGGTTGTTCCACATTGTAATATGTTTGAGAATGTTTTTCCTTTCTAAGAATCTATAGTATTCTGTTGTATGTACTTAACTTACCTGGACAAGGGGTTGCTCCTGGCTCTTGGCTGTTATAAAGAATGCTGCAGTAAACCTGCGTATGTAGATAGCTCTTTGAGAATGAGCTATGTGGATTGCTGGATTGCATTTTTAGTTATTTAAGAAATCATTGTACCATTTCTAAAGGAGTTGCATCATTTAAATTTTTAAAATGTTCTTAAGTGGGAGAGAGAAGAGAGAAGAGGAGAGAGAGAGAGAGACCCCCTTGTTTTTCCCCAAGTAGCTGCAGTCAGGGCTGACCGAGGCCAAGCCAGGAAGCAGGACTCAGTCCGAGTAGATCTGAGTTGGGCAGGGGCACAACTCCTCCAGTGATCACTTCCTGATTCTCTGGGTGTGGATTAGCAGGAAGCAAGCATGGTCAGCAGAGCCGGGACTCAAACGCGATATTACTATGCTGTAACTCCTACCCTAATGCATGGTCTTATGTTTTCAATGGTGCTCTAAAATTTCAGTTTCTTCACATTCTTAGCAACAGCTGTTATTTTCTGGTTTTTAACAGTAGATCTGGAAATAAGAATGAAGTGCTTTCTTATTGTGGTTTTATGTGCAATCTTTTATTAATGATATGGGACATTTTTATTTCTTCTTGGCATCTACAGGTTATCTTCTGATAGCTATCTGTTAAGAACTTTGTCCACTTTTAAACCGTTATTTAAATATTGTTGAATTCTTTACATATCCATACTTTGCAAGCTGTTTACTCACTTTAAGTATTTTGAGTATATTATCTAAAATTATTTTGCTGTGAGATTTATATTCTATCACATGATTATAGGGTAACTTTTAATGATTCCTGTATTATAGACACATCATTTTCCTTTTGTTGTATACTGATCCAAGGTCAGTTTTATGATAATTTCAGTTAGTTTCCTCAGTCTGGAATAACAGAACAACACAAGATTGATGGGTGTAACAAAAATTTGTATTATCAGATTTTGGAGGCTAAATGTGTGAAATTTAAAGGGTCACACAGATCCAGGACACAAGTAAAAAATAGGTTCTTGTATTTGCGTGTTTCTTGTGGTCCCTGGGCAGCCTTGACTTATGTGCCATGCTAGTACTTCCCTTGTTCACGTTGCCCGCCCCCCCCCCCATAGCATCCATAGTTTTATGAGGATACCTGCCACTGGGTTTAGAGTCCACCAAGATAATCCAAGCAGATCTTATCCTTAAGTCTATCTTTAAGGATCCTTGTTTCTTATGAATTAACATTTGCAAGTTTCAGGGTTTGGGATGCATATATTTCCTTGGGAGAGGCAGTCTAATCCACCATGGTTTTATTAAGATGAATTCCTAAGATTAAAATCACTGGTTCAAAGTTTGTAAAATATAAATATTTTAGGTTTATTACACAAACATTATGCTCCGGAATGAATTGGGTCTTTGTCTCAAACGTGGGTTTTATATTTCTATGTATACAAACAAAACAAAAACACATGATTAACACTTAATTGTTTTAAGAATAAACAATAGTAGAGAAAAAGGAAAAAAGGATGTTAGCTACTCCTCACAATTGTCTTCGTTGATAAGCTAAGAATTGCCCATACCTGTTTCAATGAAGCATTCTTAATTGATTTGGATATAGTAATGTAGCTGAACTTGTATGGTTTTGATTGACTTGTTCATTTCTCATTTGCTTCTGTCTAGAACTCTGTTTTCACTAAAAATTTTATTTTTATGTGAAAGGCAGATTTACAGATGGAAAAGGAGAGACAGGAAGGGGGCGGGTGTGGAGAGAGAGAGAGAATCTTCCATCCACCAATTCACTCTCCAAATGACTACAACAGGCCAGAGCTGGGCAAGTCCGAAGCCCAAAGCCAGGAGCCAGGGCCAGTAGCATTAACCTTTCAATTTTACAAATAAGGAAAGGGAGGATTTAAACAACCACGTAAGGACTTGGGTCACCTTCTACTGCTTTCCCTGGCACATTAGCAGAGAGCTGCATAGGGAGTAGAGTGGCTGAGATTTGAACTCAGGCACCACACAAGAGTCTTGACATACTATGTCATTGTGCTCACCCCTATTTGCTTTTCAAATCCTTTAATTTTAAAGAAAAATAATGGATCCTCAATTATGACCAATGAGTTATTCCATTAAATGGTTCCATTATCTTCATTTATCACATAATCCTCACATTTTTTAACTTTTAAAATGAGTTTATGAATTATATAAGAAAAACGTGTGTATGTATGTTTGTATATGTATGTGTTTGTTCTGAAGAAGAAAATTATCAGTGTAGGGTATTTCTTAAACACAGTTGAAAAGTTCACCACAAAGGAACTGTGTCTTCAGATAAAAGTTATTTTCAACAGCATCTGGGTAATAAATCATGTGGAATTGTACTTCAGTACTTTATCATGAATAGCAATGAATCACTAGCGTTTGTTGTTGTTGTTGTTGTTGTTTTGTTAATACAGAGAGGAGGAGAGACAGAGAGGAAGATCTTCCGTCCAATGATTCACTCCCCAAGTGACTGCAATGGCCGGTACTGTGCCGATCCGAAGCTGGGAACCAGGTACCTCTTCTGGGTCTACCACGCGGGTGCAGGGTCCCAAGGCTTTGGTCCATCCTCGACTGCTTTCCCAGGCCACAAGCAGGGAGCTGGATGGGAAGTGGAGCTGCTGGGATTAGAACCGGCACCCATATGGGATCCCGGGGCACTCAAGGCGAGGACTTTAGCCACTAGGCCATGCTGCTGGGCCCACTAGCCTTTTGATAGAGGATAATTTTTATAACCAACTTGCAGAAGTCACATATCCAGTTGAGTGTGTCTTTCACAATTGAAGGTAATACAATTTTCTCCAAACCAATTTTTGATCTCTCTTAAAACTTGCTATTTTTAATTGATAGCTTAAGATTCTTAACAATAAACTAATTTTATTTCATCAACTCATCTAATTTTTTTTATTAATTACATTGCATTATGTGACACAGTTTCATAGACTCTGGGATTCCCCCAACTCCTCCCTGTGCCGTACCCCCATGGTGGATTCTTCCACCTTGTAACTCATCTAATTTTTAGTCCAAAGGTTTCACTTATTTTTTTATTTTTATCATCCATGGGACCTGAATTTGAATAACTTTAGTTTGGTTCCAAAAATAAATCTACCTTTTTAGAAAATTTACCACTAGAGGAAGATGTGCAAAAGAATATGTGCATTTTTCAGAAATGATTTAAGAAACTACACTGTTGTCAGAATAATTCTATATCCTCCTGAGGAACATACTCTGAGAGAGAATACTCAAAACTATTGTTTATGATATGGTTTTATTAATATCCTGACACAGGACAACAGAAGTAACTCAATAGCGTAATGGGATGATATATTTGATGAGGAAGAAAGCATCCTTGAGACTTTCAAGTTAATCTTACAATTTTACAAATAAGGAAAGGGAAGATTTAAACAAACCAAATAAATTGCAGAAGGCCAACTGCCTTATTAGTTGTCAATGGACTTGGGGATATCCAAGGCACTTTGCTGTGCTTTTTTGTTCCTCCATCCATAGCATAGTGTACTGGAAGTTGTGAGTTAACAAGTGGCTAGCAAAATTCAATGTGCTTGCTCTGGCTGGATCTTTTTTCTTTATTTTAATTTCTTCTTGTTTGAAAAGCAGAAAGATGGAATGAGAGAGTGAGAAAGACAGAAATAAATAGAAACAGACTCAGAGAAATCTTGTGTCTTCTTACCCCCGCCTCCACATATATGCATCAACTAGGGTTGGACCAGGGAGAAGCCAAGAGCAGGGAATTCAATGAAGGTTTCTCACATGAGAGGCAGGGACGCAGCTACTTGAGCCTTCCATCTGCTGCTTCCCAGAGTGTCATTAGTAAGACGCTGGATTTAGAAATAGAGTTAGGCCCAGTGCCACAGGCTGAAATTTTTAAATGTAACTTTAAGTTTCTACAGGGGAAGGGAATATTTCTCCAATTCAAATTAGCAATAGTATTAGGTCACAGATGAAATAAATGTACTTTAGATATAATCATCAGACTTGACATAGAAAAATTTGCAGTTTAGATAAATAACACTTTTTTTTGCTCAAACATTTCATGGGATATACACATAGTAAAAACATTCACCATTTGTATGAAATTCAAATTTAAGCAGTCTCCTGTTTTCTTTTTCTTTTTTTAATTATTTTTTTGATACAGTTCCATATGCTCTGTGATTTCCCTTACCCTTCCACTCATTTCCCCTATAGGATTACTCCCCAACTCATTTCCCCTATATTATTACAATAGAACAGTTCTTCAAAAACAGTCATAAGTCCATCATTCTGCTATTTAGATGAATCCTGACATTGTGGGCATGGACAATGGCAAACAGTCCAGCATCCTATTGTCTATGTGTGTGCATATATATATATGATGGTTTCATTGGGAGTCCATCTTTGATCTGGAAGTAGAGCTGTATACTGTATTGTATCCTCACATCTGGATATGATAGTCTCTATTACACAGTTACTATAGATTCCCTTAAATGAAAAGCCACAGTAGAAAATGAATAACAGGAAGAAAAATAGAAATTTACAACACCATGAAGTTAAATAACATGCTAATGAATGACTAATGTGTCTCTGAGGAAGTGAAAGAGAATCAAGAATCTTTTTGAAGAAAATGATGCCACTGTGTGACCTATGAGTCTGTGAAAACTTAATATGAGGGAAAAAACTGTTTTGAAGAAATGAAAATAAAACCCAAAACATCAAAATCAATGAGATAAAGGTGGAGGGCAGGCCTGGTGGAAGTTACTGTGGTTCACTCCAATTAGGCTGCAGCTCCCACTTGTTTAACATGAGGGCCAAGTGTCTGGTGGGCAGGATCGGTCTGGGCTCCAACACCCATTTGTTTGTGTAGAAGACAGGGCTGGAGACAGAACTGACTCACCAATTGCAACCCCTAGCATATGCAAAGTCTGATTGGGGCAATGGTCTATGCCGGACCTTGTACTGGCAAGCACAGAAGAACCAGGTCAGGTATCATCTCAAAGTTTCTTTGCAGATCCTCCCTGCAACTGAACTGCCAAACACAGAACCCCAACCATGAAGAGAATTGCAGGACTGACCGTGGAGTACATATGTCAAAGCTAAGCTTCCTCAGTGCCTTAGAGCAGTGGACAGCATATCCAGGTGTACATGGAGAATATAGTAGCACTATTGGAACCTGCAGAGGACACTTGGTACATGACAAAGGACAGAACAACAGATTGATCAACTACCCCAGGTAAGTGTTGGCCGTGAAGATCTTCCAGCTTTTTGCTTGTTTCACCGGTGGAAGAACTATCTTCCAATTCTGAAATTTTTTCTTCTCTTTCATTTATTCTATTGTTGAGGCTTTCCACTGAATTTTAAATTTGCTCCATTGTGTCCTTCATTTCTAACAATTCTGCTGGATTCTGTTTCAGTGTTGCTATTTCCCGTGTGACATATTCCTTGAATTCCTGCATGTGCTTCTCGATAGTGATAAGAAGCTTTATAACAAGTGCTTCAAATTCCATTTTCCTTGATGTCTTTCCTTGATGTCTTTAACACTGAGGTTGGCAGAGCCGTTTGCTCATTTGCATGGGAGTCCTCAGTAATATTTATTGTGCCTTTGTCTCTTCTATTGCTCTTGGTCATTGTACTTCTGGTTAGCATATTCTTCTCCTTATAAGCATATTTCTTATGTTTAGGAATATCCTTATCATATTCTTCTCCTCTAAGCCGCGTCACCTACAGGTCTACAGTTCAATTTTATTGCTTGCATTTGTTACTCAGGTCTTCATTTGTAGGCATGTGCCACTCCCTCCAATGAGTTTCAGGCCTAGGCTGTAGCATTAGGCTTCTACCCTAGTCTCCATAGCCCCAGCTCTTGGATCACCTGTCTCTATCTCCTGTGATCTCATGCTGTGGCTGAATTGTCTGTCCAACTTTTTTCACTTCTAGGTCAAGCAATTTCCAGGATTAGGGAGACACAGTGTGTCCTAAATAACTAGGTTGTTAGTGGTGCTGATCTTGCTTGAACCTGTTGGCCACTAGGTCGGAGGGCCACCTGGATCTATCTTGGGTGGAACCTGCAGGGTACTGTATTGGTACTGTCTTCCCTATGGGACCAATGCAATGCATTGAGACTAAAGTGATTTTGCTCCCACTTTAAAGCATGTGCAGTTCACTGTTGTCCATCCAGTCTAACAGCCTTTGCCACACTATACAAAATGACACCTGACATGAAACTGGTGGAGTTCTGGATCTGTTGGCCATTAGGTCTTGGGAGCTGCCTGGGTGGAACCTGTAAGATATCATATCATTACTCTTTTCCATGTTGGATCAGTGCAATGCAGAAATGAGCCAGAAATGAGTTTACTCCTGGCTTCACACATGTAAAATTTATGCTTGTCCTTTCAGTCCCACAGCTTTTGCCCCACTACACAAAATGGTGCCTGATGAGGTTCTGGGCTGTGAAATCCACCCTGATCTGCACTGCCTGTCTTGGATGGGCCACTCCGTCCCTGATCCTGGTCAAATCCAACAAATCAGCAGGACAGGCTGTTTTTTGCCTGGTTTCACTTCCTGAGCTCCTGGTAAACTCTCCTTCCCACCTGGCTGCTGATAGAGCACTAGCTGCTGGTGGACCTTGGATCGCCCCTAGATAACTGCTTTTGGATTATCTCGTCACTGCAACACCACACTGTTGTCTCCACTGCTCTCCTGTGTCTTTTAGTTTCTAGGTGTTCCTCTGCCATCAGTCTGTCCTCTCCTATTTCCTGGAATTTGCCCTTTCTGCTTCACCCAAGATAATGATTCTCTGTTTCATACGCTGCTTTTGTTTTATTTGGTAAACAGCTCTGGGGTATGTGAAGCATCCATACAGTCATTTTGTTTTGTTTTAAGATTTATTTATTTTTATTACAAAGTCAGATATACAGAGAGGAGGAAACACAGAGAGGAAGATCATCCATACCATGATTCACTCCCCAAGTGAGCGCAATGGCCGGTACTGTGCTGATCTGAAGCCGGGAACCAGGAACCTCTTCCAGGTCTCCCACACAAGTGCAGGGTCCCAAGGCTTTGGGCCATCCTCGACTTCTTTCCCAGGCCACAAGCAGGGAGCTGGATGGGAAGTGGAGCAGCTGGATTAGAACCGGCACCCATATGGGATCCTGGAGTGTTCAAGGCAAGGACTTTAGCCACTAGGCCATGTCGCTGGGACCCTCTACAGTCATTTTGAATCTAACAACTTACCGACAATATGTGTCAGTAGTGCTTACTATTCACCGAATATGCTTGTGTTTCTCCTCATTTTGCATCTCTATTTGAATTAGGCAGACTGATTGAAACACTTTTAAAAATCAAAGTACAACCTTCCAGGTTGCACATTCCTGGCTGTGGTGAACTGAGGTATGTATCCAGGCTGGCCTAGTCACATGCACAGGCAGCCTTGGCTTGATCTGTGTCATAAACAAACTTTCACCTAGTAATCCACTGAAACTTCAAAATTGCTTTAATTATTGCAGTGTGATATAACCAATCTTGATAGTTTATATCATCAGATGAGATATAAAAAAATGTTGAGTCTAAATTTCATGTTGCTATTTAATTTTATCGATTTTCCATATACTTACCAGGTTTGTTGGGAAGACTGAAAGAGAATTAGAAGCAAAAATCTTGCACATTCTGTCTACTACATTGTAAGCTGCAATAAATGAGAATGATATTTAATGGTAGTATTTCCATTACAAATATTATTTCTAACACTTACAACAATCTTATGAAATTGGGGTTATTATAATTTCCATTTTATAACTAAAGGAAATGAGGCTTGAAGTGGTTAAGCAATTTACTCAAGGTCGTTTCACTGAGTGTTCTTAGTACACAGTGAACTGGGTTTCTATTCTAGGACATTCTGACTCTAAAATACATATCTTGAAATGTACGTCATGTAAACATTTCAATGTGTCATACAGAGGCATTTAAAACCTATTACAGATTGACAACTGTATAAGATATTCAGCATTAACATCAGATTAGCATTAGACTTAGAAAAAAAAAATTTGCATCCAAACCAGTCTGTTTTGATTAATTTGAAAACCTGGAGTTTGGAAAGAGAAAGGCATAGAGAGGAAAGAGAGAGAGAAAAAAAACCTTCCTTCCATCAGTTGTTTTGAATTCCCATAGTATCCAACTGCTGCTTCCCAGGGTGTCTGCTGACAGGAAGTTGGATGGGAAGAGGACACTCTGACATGGGATGCCTGCCCAAAACTATCTTGCCCCTTACAGAAACTCAGTTATTTTCAGGCAAGTAAATATGACAGATGGAAGCCCAAGAGTCAAAAAAAAAAAAAAAAAAAAAAGACATGTTGGAGATGTAGGGAGAAGAGTGTAATTAGGGTAAGTAAAACTCAGGCTGAGCTTTCAAGGATACCTGTGGATTAGTTTTACCGATATTATAAGAATAGGCTGGTTTTTTTGAAGTAAATGAAACATGTGAAACACACATAAAGCAATTTAGTATATTTGGGAATTATATCTGTGGTTGGGTTATAATCACATAGCATGTTCAGTTCACAGCAGAACCTGTCCAATAGGGCTCCAACTGGCATGGGAAGAGACATCCAAAGGCACAAAGGACTTGTACTTCCTGCCAGAAATGCCAAGATACCGCTAAAAAGAGAGAAGGGTGCGGAAATACTCTGATCCACATCCACTTTCTTCTCTCTTTTCCCTCACTATCGTCTCCCATTGGAGAACTAAATTAGAGAAGACAGTAAGAGAGCTGAGGAAATTTAGTCCAAGAGCTACCACACTGCCACACAGGATAGTGTCTGGGAATGGCAAGAAAGAGACCTGAAAGCAGATAGCCTAAGAATATCACCTGATCATATTCTATCAATCATACTAAAATATCCTACTCTCTTGGGATAGACTTTTCTCAGAAACAGACCTTGAAATGGAGATTAGGTTATAGGAAATTTAGTAAGTGATGACTTTTGGATCAATGCTTGCAAAAGTGAGAAGAATGAAGAAAAATTGAGCATTGGTAGGAACTGAGCTGCAACAGTCTTGCAGAACTCTCTTGAGTTAGAGCACTGAGATTGGACCTTTGTGTTCCCATGTTGATACAAGTTATCTGGAAACAAGTTATCCTGGGAAACAGATTTGACCTGGAGCAAATCAGTTTTCTTTAACTGAGGAAATCCTGATAGCATGATAGCTGAAGATCATCTTCCAGCAGTACTACTAGAAACCAGAGATTTAAGTCATGATGTCTACCATAACCCAACCTTTGTGCTACTCAGTCTTTGCATTGGTTGTGTAAAGAGCTCCTGTAAAATGAACTCCTTTTTCCTGAGAGAAACATGGAAAAGGAAGACTAGTGAGACAAGCTAGAGTCTCCAGTGCTGCAGCTGGTCACAGGGTCACAATCAACACTGGTGCTCTCCTTTCCACTGTGTATGCTAGTTCTCAGTCTCGGGCAAGCTTTTTGCTTATCTCAATGGGACCATCCAGCAGAGTTACTCGCCCCCTTCTCTGAGATATCTGAGTCAAGGCACACTATGTCTTTCTCTGCACAGAATTACTACCCTTATAACTTATCATCTGAATTGGGGAAGGCAGAGAAAGTGTCATCCAAATAGATCATCTGTATTTCCCACATATATTAAAAAAACAAAACAACAACAATAAGAACAACAAAAAACTCTACCAGGTCCCAATGATCAAAGTCATTTTTTTCTGCAAAAATGGCGACTTCAGATCTTATAGCCTGGTTCCTAGCAAGGTGCTCAGGCAATGGAGTTCATAATTGAACTGAGGTTTTGTTATGTCACCTTTGGAGATCTGCTGCCCTGGAGACACAAGATCCGAGCTGCACAGAAGCCAGGGCTCTAAGCTGCTATAGTAAAGAAATCAGAAATTTCAGGAAGCATTGGCTTTGGGGGCACTTAAGATTTTAGAAGTCATGAAGAGCAGGGGGGAAAAAGTTAGTGATGGAACAATGAAAAGGGAGTGGTCAGTTAGTAGAAAGGAAAGTAGAAAGTATGGGATGTCTCTGAAACCAAAAGAAAAAGAGTATTTCAGGAGCTAGAGTTTGATCAATTTTTGTGAAATGATGCTTCAAGAAAGGAACAGTTTCAAGA